TGTAAGTTAAACTAATTTAATTTTGACAAAATTAATAGTGAATAGTATTAACATTTATAACTACAACAAGATCCACTATGAAAATAAATTGCATAATTAATTTAATGATCCTTATTGTGCGTCATAAATGTTTGTATTTTTATGTAACTTTGATAAAATATCTAAATCGTTTGACCTCTCGAAAAATAAAAATGGTATCCTTTCATGAACGGAGATAGTATATTTGCTACCATAGGCTACATATATATATATAGGAGATATTTTAGTTGATTCTTGTAAATGAAATCTTTTGTGACTCTCTCCACAGCGGAAGGTTTGGGCACTTGGGGGTCGCTGCTATAAAATCTCTCATAAAAAAATAAAATCGTTTTGACAGTTTATATCACTTGCCCGTGAGGAAACAAATTAAGACCTCGTTTAGCAGGGCTTCGGTTCCGGCTTCCTGTGGCTCCTTTCAAGGAGCCCTGCCAAACGAGCATCTAAAAACGGCTCCTTGCAATGTGCCCGGAGGTCGGAGGAGCCAAAACCATCTTCGTATAGAGGAGCTAGAGTCACAGAAATGTGGCTTCTCTAGGCTCCTCCTCACAAATGTAATACAAATTATTATAAAACAGTCACTTGAGTTTTCTTTGGCAAATGTTTTCCAAAATTGCTTCAACTCTACTAGAGAAGCTGCTCCACATGAGGAGCCAGAGTAAAATCAGAGCCCTAAATAAACTACTCCTATCACCACCATCTACTCCCTCAAATCCATAGTTCAAAATTTGTACCAAAATACAATGCATCATGCGTCATCATCAACCCTCTGTCTATCTTTGTAGGCAGGAAATATTGAGATTTGTTTTAAACTTAGTGTCATCCATAACAACAAGCATTAGTTAAGGAAACTGAACTACTCCCTCGGTCCTAATTAGCTAGAGGCAAGATGGTATTTTGCTAAGCTAGCTTTTTATTTTGACTAAAAATTTCTTAGATTACTTATATGTATCACAGGATGGAGCGAGCAGTATATACTGTGCTTCGTCTGCTGGCGCAGGTTAGTTAACTGTTGATTGGTACTTGACACTCCTGGACAGAGCAATATATACAAATAATTATTATATGGATTTGGATTGGAGTAGTCAGAGGATGGAAGAGGTACGGAGGTGCCCACATATACGCTTGATCGTATCAGCCATGTTTATCAGCCATGATATAGTGTTTTTTTCTCACAACAAAACAGCATCAGCCAGCTTATAAGCCACAGAAACGATCACAACTACTGCACAACAAGCAACGGAAAGCAAAGCAAAAGAGGCGTGTCATCATGATGAGAAGCTAGCCCAACTGCGGTTGCCAAACGGAACGGAGAGCCACGCGTACGTACGTCCGCCACACGGTATTATATATCAGCAAGTGATGATGGACCATCTGATATATATCGATCATGATCTTCCTATCGATGCAACCAACAAAATTAGAGAAAGCGGCGAACTAGGTAAACGAAAAACCAAAGCGCTTAATTTAATAATTAATTGTAATTTGCAAGTAGCTAGTGGCCGCCAACCACACAATGCAACCGCCAGCAGCTGTTTGGTGCACCGGCTCCTCCTCCTCTTCATCTATCAGGCCTGCATGCGCTGCCGCACCACGATGTTGGTATCCCATCCCATCGTATCCCCCGGCCGGGCGCCCGTGACAAAAATTTTCTTCGTGCATGGGCATTGGCGGCGCAGTTAGCTAAGCTAGAGGTAGCTTATCCGATCCATGGACTGTCTGTCGTCGCATGGGCACACGCTGGCTGGACTAGCTAGGATCTGTTTGGATTCACCAACTAAATTCTAGTTGCTAAGATTCAAACGGTCCAGCGAAAAAAACCAATTCTGTTTAGCTGAATTTAACTGCTCCAATCCAGCTAAACTCAACTAAAATTTAGCTAAGTCCCCTTTAGTTGGGAGAACGTTTGGCTGGCTAAAGGTTTAGCAATGAAACCGTAGCTAGCTAAACTTTAGTTATTGGGTGGATCCAAACAGACCCTTATTTGATTAATCAAGATCCACCGTTGTGTCATTAGGTTACTTGTTACTTTTTTTTTGAGGAACACTTGTTACTATTATTTGGTTATCAGTGGGGTTGGGCAGTTAGACTGTACGGCCGGGCCCATATATATAATCGGGTCGTTACGTCTCGGCGAGGCTGGCTGTGTGTCTGCTGCTGGCGAATCCACCGCCGCCCGGTGCAGCTGCAGCCGCTCGCTCTCTCTCCGCTATCGCTTGTCACGGGCACCCCCAATAATAATTTATGTATAATAGTAGAATGTATATAAATTATTAAAACGTGCGCGCTTTCTGCTGGCTTCTTCCTTGCTTTGAAGCCACTCCTAGCTAGCTTTCGCTCCCGCGATTCCTTTTTCCGTCCGTGTCTAATCGCAGAGAAATTAAGCCTCAGCAACCAAACAACAATGGGTTACATAATAAATAAGACTGTGATCGAACTGCACCACAGAGAGAGAATTCTAGTATTCCTCTTCATATTGGACGTAAGCTGGGGGTGGAGTACGAGTATTAGTGACTTTGGTGTCAACTTGTTTAGTTTAATCCCCCCATGAACGGTGGCAGAGGCTGCAGACACATGCATCATGCCTGTTTTGTTTACACCAAAAGCAGAGCCGAGTCAGTGTATCGCAGGCATGCATGCGCGAATAATCATGATGGCTGATTAATGAGTGAGTGTGTGTGTGTGTGTAGGCGGCAACGGTAGGAAATTTTGGGCAGTGAGATTAATTAGCAACGATTACTGATTCCATGGGATTATGGGAGGAGGAAAAAGACTACTCTACACGAAAGCTCAAGCTTTCGCCGCTTTAACCCAAGGAAAGCGAGGAGTAGATGATGATGTGCCTGATGGGCGACACAGACCGACAGGGGCTCGAACGAATTCGATCGATGGGAGATCGAGCCATAAAAATAAAAAAATAAAAAAATAAACACATGCCGTTGCGCACAAAAGCTGCAACGGCAACTTTGCTTCCCGCTTTCCCTGTACACCATCGTCTTTATTATTATTATGAGCAAGCACGACGCCACGGCCCAACCTCGCTCCGTTCACCCGCCAACTGTACTCATACAGTACTGCGGGCATGTTTGAAATACTCCATGGATATATCACATAAGGGGCCTTTTGGCCGGGCTCTGTTCCGCATGCTCCTCTACCAGAGCCGGAGCCGGAGCCGGAGCGTCGAAGCCCCATTTCGTGGCTCCGCATGTCGTATCATAATATGGCTCCTCTTCACCTGTTTTTGACTAGAAGGTCTCCTCCTCTTAGCAACGTTTGGTGCGGCTCCGCTGCCGGAGCAGAGCCGAGCTGTCTTGGGAGCCGCACCAAACAGACCCTAAATCGTCCAAAGATTCAACATGGTTGACGAAATCGAAGTGTCATGCATGCCGATTTGGTTGGGGACACAAAGTTCATATGAAAATTTCTTGTTTGTTTATAATGCAATTATTGCATCCTCGTTTCATTACAGTGCGAATTAATGATTCTACTGCCATTTCACTCATGGGAAGCATAGGTACAGTGCCGAGGTGGCTTTGGGCCCGTTCAGCTTACTGAAACTTGTTGAAAGTGGCTGAAAACACTGTTCTGGCTAAAATATTGTGAGAGAAAAACACTGTTCTGGCTAAAAAAAGAAGTCGAACAAGCCGGATATAAGGTAAGCCGAATTGTTTTTTATGAGGTAGCACTAGTATTAAACTTTTATGCCAGGATGGATGCTTGCAACCTATATATATATATATATATATATATATATATATATATATATATATATATATATATATATATATATATATATATATTTGAGCCGGATGATTTGGTGATCGGGTCTTAGAAAAATAGCATTGCTGCCAAAACAATGTAACTATTAATATCCAGAGCATTGTGAAGTACCTCCATAGTAAAACTAGAATACTTTAATAAAAAACTAAAAAATCATAGTAAGAGATTGGAACACTGGGTTTATCTACTAATCATAGTATAACAATGCAAGTATTAATATGCTAGCTAGTGTCTTGTCCTAGAAGTTACCAATATATAACCACCAGGAGGTAGGATCTAAGTTGCAAGATTCAGTTATTTAGTTACCTACTCCCATGCGCTGTGATTTCCTTGAGGGTATCTATACCTTGTTCCTCATAAACATCACTTCTGTTTATTATTTCCTACGAAAAGCATACATGTTAAGGAGTAAAAAATCATGTAGAGTGATTTTGATAACATTTAGTTTTAAAATATAACACTTTACTTGGAATCAACGACAAGAAAGGTATAAAACTAGTATTTAGCCTAACCCTAGTCCAGGATGGGGGATATGTAATCGAGGCAAGATAATTTACTAATGACGTATCAAGTGGCCTCATCTAAACTTAATTAGAAGCTACGATATCCGACACAATTGAGCATAAGTTATTGCTCAAGAAATAAAGCACTAGTGCATATCAATTCTAAGATGAAGCTAGGTCTACGACATATTGAATACATTTGGATTACTAGCTTAAGGACACTAAAATGTAAGAGAGGTAGTAGTTTATTTCTTTTATATTCCAAACAATGAGAAACATGCCTTTTTCCACACACTCTATCTCTCTCTTAAAAAAATCCACTAACTAAAAACACCGAATTCTATAGTCATAAACATCTCATTGAGCAAAGCTTTTATATGCAACTAATATTTTCTATGGCGATGAACAATAAACTAAATACTCATTACAATTTGCACAATGATAAGTCCAACACAAGAATATAGTACAATTCCAACATAGAAACAAATGCAATCATCATCATTCACAAGCATGTACCCAAACATTTTTTTTTTTTGATCAGATGTACCCAGACATTTGGGTGCACTTAGCGACGCCACCTAGCAAAAACCGCCACATAAACAAAAACTCCTCCGAGCTAGAGTAGCTCGCACCTACATAACGTGCTCCCATTCCGCTTCCTCCGACTGATACGCCAACCCGATGCCGACGATGATGAGCGCGTCGACGGCGGCGGCGGCGCAGCGCCGCCGGAGTCGCCGCAAGGCGCCCCCGCCACGCCAGCCCTGGTGCTGCTCCTTCGGCCTTGACCCCTCCACGGCCGCTGCCACCGCCGCCGGCCGGAGCCCGGGCCCCCTCCCCGCGCCGCCGCGAGCCAAGCCGCCGGCGCACCAGCTCCCGCCGCCGCTCTCCCGCCGCATCCGCTCCCCGGGACGCGTATCCCCCATCGACGACCCGACCTTGCCTAGCGCCACGGGTTCGTCGTCTGTTTCCGCGCGGCTGTCGTCCGTCACCGAATGCCCGCCTCCTGCCCTGCTGGCTCCGCCCCCACCGCCGCCGCCGCCGGCGGCGGCCGCTGTAGAGAAGCCGAGGGCGATTCTGAAGCTGAGGCTGGTCGATAAAGGCGTGATCTTGGAGGTGGATAAGTTGGAGGGGGTGCGCAGGGAGAGCAAGGTGGTGGGGAAGATTCTTGGGGAACGAGGTGGCGAGTTGACGGTGGAAGGAATGGTGGAGGTGGACGCCTTCAGGGAGGCGGTGGACATGATGCTGGAAGATGAAGACGAGGCCGCTGCGATGAGGCGGCTCGCACGTGGTGGTGTCGCGCGAGCCATCGACGTGCTCGAGGTGAGCTCTCTGTTGTCACGCTGCTACTGTTTGTTGATTTGTGCCCAAATTTCAATCTTTATATTTACAGTTGTTGCTTATGATTATTATATGTTGTATTGTATTCATGAATTGCACATCTTAACTTTTACTGTGGTGGTATTCTAGTGTAGTGGAGACCGGAGGGTGCTAATTTTAGAATCTGGTAAATATTAATGTTGAGAGGTTTGGTTATTGCCTTGTTGGAGATTGGCATAGTAGAGAAATACCAGTTTGGTATCCTTGAATTTGGAGGGGATAGCATTCCTGGTGTTTGCAAATTTGGTTATGGGACCACGTTGTTGGGTCATCATTACATCATATTTTGCTGAGTGCCTCTTGTGATGATTAAATGGGTACATTATACATAAAGCATGGATGATGAAATTATTTTGGCTCTGGTATTTTGCCTGACTTTCCTCATTGGGAACATCTTCAATTTACAAACATTAAAGCGTTTATGTTTTAATTATTTTGAATTATTGTGACTCTTTTTTTCTTGCTGCAAAATTCCAGTCTGTTTTCATGCCATTTTTCTTGTGTAAAATTTTATCTTTCTTCCATCTTATCAGTTTTAGAATCTTAAAGTTCAAAATTTCTTGTACTTGCCTTTACACCTATAGATGTATACTGCATCTTTGAATTTTGTTATATGTGACTAGCGCTGTTGATTGTGCACTTTTCAGTGTTTGCTGTTTGCTATATTGAAGCGAATCTCTTTCATTGTAGATGCAGAACTAATATCATTAATGTGGTGACAAAAGGGATCTTGCTAAACTTTTATAATATTTGATGGACGTCCCATGTACTAGAACATGGTACTCTTTGAGTTATTGAGAATAAATGCAGACCCCGGGAGAAATGCTCCTCTTATTTGACAAATTAAAGCTCTTAATTATGCTTCTTAGGCTCTTATCTAGGAGTATTAGTTAATTTGGTTGTTGCCTGAAATGGTACAGAAGGTTGACCGTCAGATAATTGAGGCTGTGCAATAAGATAAGTATTTTGCATTTCACTCTGGAAAGTAACTTTGAGGGAACTGTAAATCGAAGCAAGTTTGAGGGAATTACACCCTTGCTTCCATTTGCACTAGGTGCCGGGTTAATTTTGTACACTTAGGAAATTATATACGTTAAGCAAACTCGTAACTATTGTGTTGATTTAAGTTTGTGTAGCCTGCTGAATTGACTAAGTTTCCATCATCTTCCATTCCTGTCTTAATTTTAATACAGACGCACTTGTGTTTAGTGAACTGTTAAGATTGCAATTGAAATGACTGCTTCATTCTAAGACAGCAATCTGATTTGATAATCAATACCTTATATGACCTGTCCCTAAGAACACAAGAACTAAATATCGAATTTGTTGTTAGAAATTGACTTCGTCACATTCTAAGAAATCCCATCAGTTTGTTCACTGATTTGTACATCTTTTCTAGACACATGCCCACGCCCACCTATTTATGCTTTTGCCTTTTGAGGGATATATGACTGTACAACTATTTCCTTGGGTTTGGTAGTTTCACCAATCAAAGACAAGATAATAGCAACTTTAGCAAGTCCTATTTTTCAATCTGGTACAATTTGCTATTTATTTTTCTCAAACACGCAAGAGGGTGGTGTATCATTTCATTAAGAGAGAAGACAATTCACTATTTTTTTTCTCAAACACGCAAGAGGGTTGCATATCATTTCATTAAGAAAGAAGACAATTTGCTATTTCAAGCTACAGTTCTTAAGCGTAAAATTCGGTGCTTCCATGTAACAAAAGGAACCTGTCTGCCTCATGCTTGTAGGTGTAGGGCGTGTTTGGTTCCTTCCCTAGAAAACATGCCTGGTCCAGAAATCAACGCCAACCGATTTATTTTGAATGCATAGGGTCAGGTGCGGCTGCCTGGTGGAGCTCCCTAGGCGAGGGCTCGAACCTGACACGCTCATAATCTTCACTAATGTATGATGGCAACAGTATACTCAGAAGTATTGCTGTGAAAAGCTACATATCATGCCGTTGGCTTGCAACAGCAATCATGCTGCTCATAAATCGACTTTAACATGTCCATATGATCTTTGAGGGGGATAATGACCCACTTTATCTGATTGGAAATCAGGAAATGTAGACTAAAGTCAATGCAGATTCTTTGAAGTGTACTTCTATAAAAGAGAAGTTTGTGTCATTATCGCATTCACTTTACCCTTTTTATATGTCTGTTAATTTGTCTGAAAATGTGTATTGGTTTATGCTAACTTTATTCTCAACACATTTCACTTAATGCCTAAACAAATTTCTTAGGTATCCTTGTCACTTATGTTTGACAGAGGAGTTAACAACTGTCTAAGGTATCTGGATGCTGTTCCGTGGAATGAATCTGAAGAGGAGACAATTAAGAAACTGATGTACCAGCATTCTTCATACAAGGCAGCTTTCAGAGATTTGCTGGCAAGGTTACAGCCAGAGAGACCTGCCTCGTCTGCAGAACTGGTAGTTGAACTAGCCGATTCCATCACAAAGGGGACCAACAATAATGCTCGGAAAGAGCTGCGGAATTTAGTCAATGGGATCTTATCAAAATCATCTGTCTACATAAAGGGTGATAAAGAGCTGGACAGCAGGAGCATTTACTGTATCTGCCATTCTTGCCTGAACTCTCTGGTGGGATTATTCGAAGAATCTTCGGAGTTGGCCCAGGCTGATCAAACATCACTGTCGTCAGTTGGAAAAGGACCACTCGAGAGGATCTACAAGCTAGTTGAGGACATCAACTGGTTACTGCAGATTCTAATCGACAGGCAGATGGGAGAGGAATTCGTCGACTTATGGGCGGACCAAAAGACCCTCAGCAGCATGCACGAACGGGTGTCGCCGATAGTATGCCACGAGCTCAGCCGGATTTCGGCCACGGTGTTCATCGGCATGGGGAGCGGCAAGCTCCACTGTACCGGAGACAGAAGGCTCCGCGTCTTCCAGGCCTGGTTCAGGCCAATGCTGGTAGATTTCGGTTGGCTCCGGAGATACCCGAAGGGCCTCAACATGACGGCCCTGGAGGAAGGAATCGGGCAAGCGCTGCTGACGCTCACGTTGAAGCAGCAGCAGGCGCTGTTCTTGGAGTGGTTCGAGGCGTTCAGTGGGAAAGGCCGGGAATGCCCCGACCTGATCAGAGGCTTCCAGGTCTGGTGGCGGCGGTCGTTTGTGAGATCCTTAGGTAGTAATAGCTGAGTCCTGAGCAGCCTTTGATTGAAAAGAAAAAATAGCTGAGTGGGGTTCAGGCGCGCATGCGTATGTTGGTATGTGCTTGTTTATGCTGTGTGATGGTATATGATATAACTGGTGTGCCAGATTGCCCTGTTGCCCTGACGAAGGCTGGCTGATCTGTATGGTCTGCAAATTGTTTAGGTCTGTAGAGATGTAAGAAAACATTCTTCAGTTAGTGTGGAGCTGAAGCCATATCTGCTGTGGGCTGTGGCAGTTGAGAAGCTGCACTGAATGAGTACTGCTCGCGTGTTTAATAAAAATCAATGTGACGAGAACCAGTGGTCCAATGCAACGGTGAAGATTATTGTTGGGAGCTTGCACGAGAAGGAGATGAGGGGTGGTGCCCTGAGACTTCTACATGCAGGAGCCAGGAGAGCCACAGAGAGCTTTTCTGTCTTGGGGCCCAACTTGGCTTCTGAAAGTGAAAAGTATCATCATCTGTATCCATTTGCATCCTGGGCTAGCGTCATGGCGGCATGGCATATATAGATAGTAGTCTACTGTTGCCTGAATCTTTGTCTGTTTTTTTCGCTGGATTGGAATTGGAATCTCTTATTGCGAGTAGTAAAACTCAAATAGGTTATATATGCAGTTATGCACCTCACGTGCTCCACTAAATTGAGAGTGTATCCATGGGCTGCTAGAACGGCATGTTCAGTCGGCAATGCACATGCGTTCTGTAGGCCAGCCAGCCTGCATGTTCCCGGCCTGCGTCCTGTTCGTTTAGGCTGGTTTGGCTTATAAGCCATGAATGAAAGTATTGTTGGCTGGTTTAGTGTGAGAGAAAAATACTATTCGTTGACTGATAAGCTATGACTTATAAGCCAAATACGATCAAGCGAACAGGCTGTACATACATATAGATACAGGTAGCTACCTGGACCTGGATGGAATTGGCATGCATGTATGGCGGAAGATTGTTTTTGTTTTTGAGGATTTGATTAGAGGATTCTTTTCGTTGGGGGGTTTGGCCAGGTGGGCATGCCGCATGCCACACCCTACCACGGTATGGTCATCAGTTTCCAGTGGGCCAGGAGTCTGTTATGTCTATAGAATGAGTTGGAATGTCATCATCAACCATCACCCAAGTGACCAACCATGAACATGAAGCATCCAACCACTGGGCACGTCCGCTGGTGACAACTGCCATAGTGGCATCACCAGCCCTCAAAAATCTGCAGCTCCGAATTGCTTTGTATCTGAAAGCTTAAGATTGGATGAAGTTATAAAATGGATTATAATCAAAGAAGTAATTAAAGTTTGAGGCTTTAACAATTGAAAATGTAGTATTGATCACAAAGAATGTACGTAGCTTAGCAGCCATGTTCCTGTTCTTATTCCGAGAACTTAGGGTATCATTTTATAACGTGAGAACGGGAACGTTTCCGTTCCGGGATGTGGACCATGGCCATGTTCCTGTTCCAGGCTGCTAAGGTACGTATGCACACACACATATGTATACATAGATCCCCGCACAGAATATCTTAACGTAGAAGTAGAACTAACCACCGGCTATGTGTTTGTTATAGCGCGCGTTTAGTTCGCGAAAAGTGCGAAATTTGGCTACTGTAGCAATTTCGTTTTTATTTGGTAATTAGTGTTCAATCATGGACTAATTAGACTCAAAACGTTCGTCTCGTAATTTCCAACAAAACTGTGCAATTAGTTTTTATTTTCGTCTACATTTAATGCTCCATGCACGTACCGCAAGATTCGATGTGACGGATACTGTAGCACTTTTTGGGAAAACTTTTTGCAAACTAAACAAGGGCATATATGGAAGTAGACACGAGGTGTAGTGATTAAAACTAAAGTTGTATTAGCTGTATTTGCCAACGTCCAGCGAGTCAAAGACAAGGACTTTATCTGAGAGCTTGTTGGCGATGAGAGGATATAAACTTGACTTGACAGTGGACTTGGTCAACTGTAACGGGATGCTGTTTGCCTGTTTCTGCGCAAGACCACTAGACCAGGCTTTTCTTTTCTATATACAGTTATCGGCCAGGTAATCTTGTACTACTCCGTACTTATTTATTTTCCTTCTAGTAAGTAGTAACTCCAGTCTTGTTTGTCCTTGTGTAACGGGCTGCTGTTTGTACTTAAAGTATTGATGAGGCGCAAGAAAGAAAAAAACTTGGTTGCGTTACCATATTTATACGAAAAGGTTGACAACACAACTTAGCATCGCGGCAATACCGTTTCTTTTTATTTTATTATCGGCTAGGTAGCGTGTTAAATGCGTTGCTACGAGATAGTTAACGTTTTATACTAAAAACATACGGATCGCACGATAAGATAATAATACTATAAAATTAAATATCAATGTTAAAGTGACATTTAATCCAAAAAAACAAAGTGTGTGAAATTAACAAAAGTTACGGAGAGCGCAACGTCGCAGGCTCACAAACTCTACTTTATAGATCTTTTCCGTGACGTGGCTAAGATAATGTTTTTATATTGGTCGGAAAAAATCTTCGATATCCATTGCTTTCGTACGCCAATAATTACCAATGTTGAATATTCGGACTCGGATACGGATAAATCTAAACCTTCTAAACGGATTCGGTCTCGGATACGGTCGAAAAATATCCATACCATTTTCACCTCTACTCATAACAATGCCTAAATAAATGGATTACAAATTACATCCATCAAGGTTCATATGCAATAGACAAATTACATCCACAAGGTCCATAGCTCCGACGAGTTAGAAAATAATAATAAAAAATCTAGAATTGAAAATTGAATTGTCTTAAGAACTAAAACAAACTAAAGCAGTTTTGCTGAGCCGCTAGTGGTCGTGCTTGTCTGAAATTAAACTATATGTCGATCAATGATGATTGAGCGAAATGGTCTATTTAAATGGCCACATGATACATCGTATGTTTGAACAAAACTGTATGAGTTTGATAGCTACCGCTCTAAGACCCTGCAAATGGTAATATGTCAAAGAAAGTTAACCTTCCAAACTAACAAATATGCATTAAGGTAGTGTGCCCGTACATTGCTACATGACAGCTAAACTTTTATACTAAAAATACATGTATCGCATGATAAGATAACAATACTATAAAATTAAATATCGACATTAAAGTGATATTTAATCTAAAAGGCAAAGTTCGTGAAATTAACACAGTCACGGAGCGCGGCGTCGCAAGCTCACAAACTCTATTGTATAGATTTTTCCGTGATACGATTAAGATAATGTTTTATATCGGTAGAAAGAAATCTCCGATATCTATTTCTTTCGTACGCCAATAAATCAACGAATAAGTTCTATCGCATCTTCGTACCATCATGTACACAAGTTCGAGTATATATATAAATATTAATTCCTGTCACATGGGTAATACTGCGTGTCTTGAAAAATCTCTTATAATACCTTAAGTATGTTATACTCATCGTATAAATATGTGTGGTTTTAGGACTATTTCACGCAGACATATACTGTAGAATAAGGTATCCACTTGAGCGTCTATGGCAAGATTCACCATCAATAATATATAGAAATAGTTCAATCAAAGGTATTATTATTGCAAGCGACGGATAAAAGTAAATTAGAGGTTATCATAATTGTACATTTGATTCTTCCTAATTTTTTAAGATGATGATGTCCAAGGTAAACTTCAAAATATATCATTTTTATGCATTGTGTCTGGGTACAAGCTAATTCACTATAAAATAATAATTGAAATTTTCTCTCTTAGTTCAAAATTATAAGATATTTTGGTTTTTCTAGATATATTGTTTTAATTATGTATATCTAAGCATATAAAAAAAGTTATGTATCTAGAAAAGTCAAAGCGTCATATAAGTTGGAATTGAGAAAGTAATTTTCCGTAGATTCATTGGTCCACTCTGAATTAGTTAGAAACACTTTCAAAAGAAGAAATTATCCGTTCAGAAACCACAAATTCAAGTTTTACCCCCTTATAACACAAAGGTTTTTAAATTTGCTTCACAAAGTCAATCATCAACTCTTCATTGAGGCGCGATGGCTGTCAGTTTTACTACCTCCCAAGCACCATCCAGTTTCAGTCAACCTCTAAATGTCTAAAGTTTTTAACACCATGTAAGTATCATTTCATGCTCGATTTCAACAAGCTCTGCTTCTAAACCATCCTCTCCAAACTATACAATCTCCCCGATGCATGATCCCAGGACCTCACTGCTCCATGCAAGTAGTTTGGGCACAAAGAAACCATCTGCTCATCATCCAGCCCTGGGAGTAGCATGTAATTCTGAAATCATGACACATATCAGATTTTTGGGACATGTCTACACGAAAATTAAGGCATGAAGGGATGTGATTGGTAAATAATGAAGAGAGAATGCATGTTGTTGGATAAAAAATTATTCTGTAGAAACTATCCATTAGGACCATGGTTTCTATATGTAGTGTCTATGAAAATTAACAGGTATAGCATTGTGACTGCCCTAATATATTATAGAAACACCGTAATAACTATTTTTTTTCACGGGTAGAAGTACAAGATTGAGAAGCAAATTGTCAAGCTTGTTTGGCTAATCTATGAGCATCTTGTTTAAATATTCGTTAATAAATCGTGGAAATATAATGTCCAATTAATCAAAATGTACAAGTCAGAGCATGGCGCGAGGGAGGGCGCGAGGGCGGAGGCCGGTGCGAGCGAGAGCGAGCTAAGCTGGCGAGGGTGGGCGCTATTGCGAGGCCACATGATTTATAGATGATGATTGATGACAGTCTCTCTCTTTTCTTTTGTCTTAATTTTCTTTCGTTCTGTGTTAATTCTCTTTCTTTTTGCTCATTGCCATGTATGCTGGTGTATGCAAACATGCAATGTGTATATGGATAGCACAATAATTTTCTACTTTCTATTTTGCAAATATGCAATATTCAATCAAGGAGACAAATCGCGGGCTTTCTTTTCTCGTTCGCTCCTTTCCTTTTCTCGCTCGCCCGTTGGACAGCGTGGGAGGTGGGATCGATCGCATGGGGTGGTAGACGGACAAACCAAGGCAATTGTCGCACCAAAACGATGTCCACACTTTGTTCTTTTCAGTTGCAGGAGATATATAAGCCACTACTTATTCGCAAAAAAAAAACCCCACTACTAGGAGTATTATTAAAAGTTGGCAATTCCACTCTGGCGTATAGTATCATGGCCAACCTTTTTTTTAACGCAAAACGTTTGTGTTTTGCATTGGCAGCTAATTTGATTTAATCAGGAAAGCATTTAATTTATTCAACCCTTTGGTTTAAGATTGCATTGGTTCGAACGGGAAGGTCTGGGGAATTTATTTGCGTGCGTGTGTCAACAAGTGTCAACCGCTAGTGTCAACAAGCCAAGTGCCGCCTGCCTGCGCACCGGGCTCAGAGAGACCAAGAACTTGAATGCCATGTTTGTTGCAAAATAATGAAACCTTTTGAAGAAATGAAACCCAGGCTTCAAACTCATTTGCTACATTTACTCTTTGCCAAACTGACAAGTGACATTGCATGGAATATATCGGTCCCTTCTTTACAAACACTCGAATAATTCATTTGTGTGTCCAAGAATCTCAAGCATAAAATGAGCACTAAAAATAAATCAAATGACTCAAGCACTCCAACCATAGTACGTATTTTTGTCCATTCACCCCTTTGTGAAGTATCTTCTCCAAGAGCTATGAGTATATCACGAATTGTGGGATACATAGCAATCATATTGACCATAATTTTATAATAAGAGCCCTACCGAGTCTCGCAGTCTAGGCAGCCCCTCTCTTGATTTAACCCATTTCCATATTCTAGTATACCACATTCAAGTGCTTTTCCACTACACTACGAACACCCATTTTGCAACGCATTTGTGTTACTAAATGTTTAAATACACGTTGCAAGGGTCTATACCAACGCATTATTATGCGTTGCAATAACCAGTGTTGCAAGGGTCTATGGGAACACATACTTATGCGTTGGTAAGTAGTACATATAAGCGTTGCAATCTAGCTACGGATATACTGGGGATATACCAATGCTTATATGTGTTATAGCTTATAAGTCCTAACAGAGGAAATACTTTTACTGACCGGTATATTGTCTATCCTAGCCTTGGATGTGATCTTGAATGACTTGAGCAGTGGATGAAGTGTAGAAATACTTGCTCTAACTTGTTTAAGCCTTGCGGCACTCCAGCACACCCAAGCAACTAAGGTAACCTCATATATATAGCTCCATCTTACTCAAAGAGTTGTTGAAAAAAGTCTGCCATAAAACCGTATTGCTGCGGATGATCAACTGCTACGATATTCCATTGCATCATATAGTGCTACTAGCCGTTAACTTTTTCCACTGCTCGGACGGTCCAGTGCTTGGTTTTTGTTCTTCGGTAGGACTACTCTTTGCTTGTAATGAATAGGAAGTTAGCCTTTTATTTTTGGCAAAGCCTCTGTATTTGAAATGGATAATCTACTTGTTCCTTCCCTTCACACCATATGGTCAAACACATGCTTCGGCGAGGAATATTCTCTTAGGACCCTTCCATCTTGAACTATCCAATGATCTTCTTCTCTTGGCTAGAGTGTCCTACACGTTCATTTTTGCACTGGCCGGACAATCCTATGCGTTCATTTTTGCACTGGCTGGACAATCCTTTGCATTCATTTTCCCATTAGCCAAACAGTTCATTTTTCCATGAATATTGTTTTAAGCTTTTTAATAGTTTGGTATTTTGGCCATATCTTCTTGTTTTAGACTTTGATTTTGTTGATCTTAGTCTTCTCGAAAAGTTTGTTAGAATCTCTACGACTTGAAGTCGTGACACAACTTCAATTCAACCCTCTCTTTATCTCTCAATCCCCTTTGATTTCTCGTAGTGCTAGAACCTATGTAAACCAATCTAATATATTTTTAGCGCATTTGTTAATTCTAGACTCGTGTTGTCATCACAATCACCAAGACTCAAAGATATGATCATAGGCACATAATCCTTATAGCTCCTCTTTGGAGTGTCTGAGCGTGTAGGGAATTAGGTAGCGCATCTTGCACGAACTAGCAAGAAGAGACATGGAGAGAAAAAATATTTTTTCCTAACTAATAGGTGGATCCCAAGTTTGCAAGGGATGATGATTTTCAATCTGTTGAAGCATATTCCATGTATAATTTAGAGTTTTGTTTTCTTATTTCCCTTTAATCCTGACATAAGAGTTGAGTTTTGTCAATCTTATGAAGGCCCTATTTGGTCTTTTTGTAGCTGGAGCTGAAGCAAAGAACCCTAGCAGCCCTATTACCATCCCTATGTGAGCTCCCTAGCTAGAAATCCCATGCTTGCTTGAAGCTATATTTCACTTAGTGAATTGAAAGCTTTCCTTGCTAACCACTTATATCTGTATTTCATTTTAATTCCACGATTTTTCTACCCTCAGAAAGAAAGTAAAGGTCCTTCCTCTTTGGAAGGCTGTGGGCGAGGAGAGATTCGAACCTCCGACACCGTGGTTCGTAGCCACGTGCTCTAATCCTCGGAGCTACATGCCCTTCCAGTGAAGTTAGTTTTCATGGTTCCGTGTCCATACGCAAAAACGATTTTGGCTCTATGATTCGTTGATCAAAAGCACTCGCCTGTAGGAGAGTATTTGGTATGGCTGTTGCGTTGCCAGTCTATCCATGGAACCAATAGAGAAATCGGTGCAAGAGCCATATAAGGCTTTATTATTTGAATAAGGCTTTATTTGAAAGGACTCTCCGAGGGCTCCTCCACGGGAAACGGCTCCGGTTCCTCCTAACAACGGATAGTTCCTTCTACTAACTGTTGGTTTTCTCGCAGTAGCTGAAAGGCGTCCAAAATCGCTTTCCCCAAATTTCTCGGTGGCACGTCGCACTTGCATATCGGTGGACGTTTCTTCTTTAACCAAGTGAACATGTTTGGACCGTTGGAGTAGTAGTAACAGGAATAATGGCTGGAGTCGTGGAGTGAGCGTCCGCCCGCGGCGCGTTCACACGGCGAGCGACAGGACTAGGCGTGGGTGGACGTGACGGCTCCCATCCATCACCAGCACTGACACGGCAGACGCCAGTAAAGGCACAGGGGCACAGGCATCCCTGCTCAGCACTCACACCCCACCATGCCGTCACGCGCCGCGCCACCGTCCGTCCCCGCGGTGCCGCGCCCGCCCGCCACCGATCTCCCGCCCCGCCGCACCCCACGCCACTGACACCCCTTACCCCACCATCCGCGGGCCCCGCGCACCGGTGGCCGCCACGCGCGCCGCGCTGGGTACGACGCGGCACGGGATCTTTTGACTTCCCCACTCTCATCAGTCGTAAGCTTCTCCTCCACTCCTCGGCCTCTCGCACACCCAGCTACAGTCCAGGGCGCGGGCGGCAGCGGCCGCGGCGGAAAGGGAAGACGAAGGGGAGGCGAAAAAAAGAAGAAGGGATTGCAAAAAATTTCAACCTGATGAATAGTAGCACTTTCGTCTTATTTGGTAAATATTGTCCAATCGTGGACCAACTAAGCTCAAAAGATTCATCTCGTGATTTCCAACTAAACTATACAATTAGTTATTTTTTTTACCTACATTTAATGCTCTATGCAAACGGCTAAAAATTGATGTGATGGAGAGAGAGTGAAAAAACTTGGAATTTGGAGATGATCTAAACAAGGCCGAAGAAGCGAAAACAAAAAACAAAGCCGCACACACAAACACGAACCGCAGCGCCGGAACAGCGAGCGTGGCGAAGCGGTACCCGGGCCCAGCGAGCCCCGCCGCGTAACGTCTCCCTCGTCCTCGGGGTCCACACCGGGTCCGCCACGTGGAGGGCCCGCGCGTCAGCGAGACAGGGCGGGCGTGCGCCGCGGCGGTCGCGGGACCTTGACGGAATCCAATGCGGTTGTGAGGTTTTGACGTCCGCAAGGACGGGTCCCGGGGACGCGCACACACGCACGCACCCGAGTCGCGGGATTTTCTACTGCTACTCCTTCTCTCCGCTTCCCTTCCCTTCGCCCTCTCGCTCGCTTCCGCTTCCTCCTGCTACTGCTGCTCGCCTCGGCTCGCGGGGAAGTCCAGTGGAGTCGCCGTCGCGGGAGTGCGGAGCCCCGGCCCGGCCCGGCGGCGCCACCTCAGCGCCGGAGGAGGGACGTTTGCGCGGGTTGAGTTCAGGCCCGGATCGCCGGATTCCGCCGCGGGCTCGCTCGGATCGAGGAGGCGCGGAAGGCGCGCTCGGGCGGCGGCTCCGCCGGCCGTAATTCCCGTGGTGTCGGCCTCGCTTTCGGAGACGCGGGGCTGCAGGGGAGACCTCCCGTGCCTGCTTCTGCCTAGCTAATCCGCGCCTTCTTCCTTGCCTCGGCCTGCCTGCCTGCTCGGTGCCGCTACTCGCTCGCTGGCTTGGTTCCGCTGAAGTACAGGACGAAAGGTGGTGGGGGAGGTGCGCAGACGCTTCCGCTTCCGCTTCCGCTTCCGCTTCCGCTCGGCTCCGGTTTTGGCTGGCACCGGAGGAGTCGCAATCTCGGCTAGATTTGCCGCGCTGCGGCGGATGCTTGGACGCGCGGCGGATCTCGGCCGTTGTTCCTGCGGCGCGGAGTGAAGGTACGGTTTCCTCCCCGGCTGGATTTTGTTGGGAAGATGGTGCCGTCGGGGCAGCCCAACCCGATGGGCGGTCCGGGCCAGCAGGTGGTGGGCGCGTCGCTGCTCCGGACGAGCTCCAGCCTCCTCGGCGGCGGCGGCGGCGGCGGTGGCGGCGTTGGCGCCGGTGGCCAGCCCGGGATGGGGATGGGGATGGGCGGCGGCGGGGTGCTCCCGTCGCAGTCGCCCTTCTCGTCCCTCGTCTCGCCGCGCACGCAGTATGGCGGCGGCGGCGGTGGCGTCGGGAACGGCTTGCTGGCGGGCGCGTCCAGTGTCGCGTCCATGCTCAGCAGGCAGCAGTCGTATGGGAATGGGGGGACGGGGGCAATGCCGGGCAGCGGTGCCGGTCTCCCCATCGGTGGGATGCAGCACAGAGGCGGCCTTGATGGCGTTGGTGATTTGGTTGGCACTGGAGGGCCCGATTCCATGGTGTTCTCGTCCTCTGGCCCTGGTAGTTTGGGCAACCAGCTTGGTGCCGACGGCTTACAGCAGCAGCAGCAGCAGCTGGATGCACCGCAAGATTCACAAAATCAACAACAGCAGCAACAGCAAATGTTAATGGCATATAATCAGCAGCATATGATGCCACAAACTCAGCAGCAGCAGCAGCCGCAGCTGCAGCCTGCGGTGAAGTTGGAGAACGGAGGCGTCCTTGGTGGGGTCAAACTGGAGCAGCAGATGGGGCAGCCTGATCAGAGTGTTTCCACACAGATGCTGCGCAGTTCGAGTGGTGGTGTGAAGCTCGAGCCGCAGTTGCAAGCGTTGAGAAGCTTGGGTGCTGTCAAGATGGAGCACCAAAGCTCAGACCCATCTGTGTTCCTACAGCAGCAACAGCAGCAGCAGCAGCATATGTTGCAGCTGTCTAAGCAGAGCCCTCAGGCTGCAGCTACTCAGTTGAGCCTCCTGCAACAGCAGCAGCGGTTCTTGCAGCTGCAGCAGCAACAGCAACAACAGCAGCAGATTCTCAAGAACCTGCCTTTGCAGAGGAACCAATTGCAGCAACAGCAACAGCAGCAGCAGCAGCAACAACAGCAACATCAGCACCAACAGTTGCTTCGTCAACAAAGTCTAAATATGCGAACTGGTAAAACACCTGCTTATGAACCAGGGACCTGTGCAAAGAGATTGACACATTACATGTATCACCAGCAAAACAGGCCACAGGTAAACATTTTTCACAAATAAATATTGCCATTATTGCAACCTAGGTGGATGCTTATTATTAAAGATATGGTATTAGGACAATAACATCGAGTACTGGAGAAACTTTGTCAATGAATACTTTGCCCCAAGTGCCAAGAAGAGGTGGTGCGTTTCTCTGTATGGCAATGGTCGTCAAACCACTGGAGTTTTCCCTCAGGTTTACCTTTTCTCTCTGACATTAGTATAGGCTGGTAGTTCAATTTTAATGCCCGGAGTGTTTGTTTTGATTAATAGCAATCATGCAGTCTTTTGTTTACATGCGATATGTTTTTGGGAATACCCCAATTTGGTCTTTTTGATTATTCTTTAACCTGTGTACAATTTCATTTTATGTTTTAGGATGTTTGGCATTGTGAGATATGCAATAGGAAGCCAGGGCGAGGTTTTGGTGGGTATAATTGTGATGGAAACCTACCCTACTAGATATCTTCTATTTCTGTGCTATTATGCATCACTACTAACAATTGGATGGTATCCTACCTTTTATAGAAACGACGGTTGAGGTCTTGCCACGGTTGTGCCAAATCAAATATGCCAGTGGTACACTTGAGGAGCTTCTGTATGTTGATATGCCAAGAGAGTCCCAGAATTCATCTGGACAGATTGTTTTGGACTATACCAAAGCGATCCAGGAGAGTGTCTTTGAGCAACTCTGCGAGTAGTTCGTGTGAGGGCATCTAAGAATTGTATTCAACCAAGACCTGAAGGTAATATGTTCTCTAGTTGAGATATTTTGTTATTTTGTTGGAATGGTGTTCCCGCATAAAAAATGTCTGGCACTCAAGGGTAAACTGAATGATAGTCTGGTCTGAAATTACCATTCTAGCCTTGTTTTTTGAAATAAGGACCGTGGAGCATTGCTCCCCAGCTTTTATTAAAGACTGAAGAGGAACAAAGTACAAAAAGGGTGTTAGACCAACAAAAAGGACCATGGACCATTCTAGCCTTGTTAATTAATGTCATCAAGCAGCATTGCATTTTTTTTTTTTGCTTTCTCGTATGATTAAAGAGATATTTTTCTAAATTATTGCAATTACTGAAATTTATTACGCTAGGCAATCTTTTATGCCCCCATGCATGCATGCACTCATGAATTCATTCGTAGATAGAGCTATAATTCAGAGGAAGGCAGTAAGGTAGCCTTTTTGTCGCCCTTTATTGTGGAAGGCAAAAGGATTTAAAGGAAGGGATACCAGCAAAGCCACCTCAAAACATAGGATGACATACATTTGTGAATGAAGAAAAGGCCTATAATGATGCATAATTATGTAATACAGGAGTAGTTTGTTACAGTTCTGATAAATTTAACACATTTTGTTAAACTGTTGTGCACATTGTGCTCATTAGATTGCATCGTGGGAGTTCTGTGCCCGGCGTCATGAGGAACTTATTCCTCGGAGATCAATCATACCACAGGTATTATTTTCCCAAAGATAATGAAATGTGCATTTTTTCATCTGCATTGTGATTCTGATCATGGACTTAATTTCATGCACCTTGTTCTTCTATTAGGTCAGTCAACTTGGTGCTGTGGTGCAAAAGTATCAGTCTTCCGTTCAAAGTTCGGCATCACTCTCAAGTCAGGATTTGCAAAACAATTGTAACTCGTAAGGACACTTCTTTGATGTGCTTATGCTTTTGAACTTAACCCAATTCTTTGTTAAATTCAATTTTTTTGCCAAGCTTAGTCAGGATTTGTAAAACAATTGTAACTCGTAAGGACACTTCTTTGATGTGCTTATGCTTTTGAACTTAACCCAGTTCTTTGTTAAATTCAATTTTTTTGCCAAGCTTTTGTTCTGATCTTAGTTATCCAACTGGCAATCTCCCCGCAATGCTACGCTGATATAACTATCCATACTTGTGGCACATGGTTTCTTGATCTTTGCAGATTTTGCCTCTTTTATTTCATTGGTGCTTCTAGTGCTTGTATGGGTGGACCTCTATATACATCAACCATAGTTTGCATCCTCATAGTAGAACTGGTTATTTGCTGTTTGCTATATTTTTATAACAAGATACTGGAGTCCTGATTTGAATTTTGCATGTCATAACCTTCATTTTATAAAATATTAGTGCATGTGAGTATCTAGTTCTTTGCATTTGAACGCTGCACAAAATGGAGAGTTTCAAGGTGCTTTGTTAAGTTAACTAGAACATGCATAGACATCATCTATGTATTGTATGCGTTGGAAGCTGCTTGTATAGCACGCATGCCATCTGCGTTTAGGAAGTAGTCAATACACTTATACCAGAAACAAGGTTCCTGTTTCAAAGGAATATTTTGTTGAGCCAAAAAATTCTGAAACTATGCAATTGGGAGCAGGAGCAGGAGCAGGAGCTTGAGCATCAAAATACTGCAATGAACAAGTAAACCTGTTGCTATGGACATTTGAGCTTCCTTTGACACAAGTACTCCATTCCAAAACGAAGTTTTGGCTTTACTGTCCCAAATTATAAGTCATTCCAACTTTCTTGGAAAGTCAAAGCATTTCAAGTTTGACTAAAATTATAGACAGAATTACAAAAAATTATGACATTAAATAGATATACTATGAAAATATAATTAATGAAGAATCTAATGATACTTATTTGATATCTTAAATGTTATTATTTTTATTATATAAATTTGGTCAAACTTGAGATGTTTTGACTCTTCAAGATAGTTGGAATGACTTGTAATTTGGGACGGAGGGAGTACATAGCTTTTGCTATGCGCTTAGATATACAGTATGTCTAGATGCATATGAAAAGCAATGTATTTAGAAAAGCCTGTCTTACAATTTGGAACGGAGGGAGTAGTATACAAGCTACTGAACACATACATATTTTTCTATGCTGTTGTGAGCCACCTAGCTTTTTGAATTATACTGCTATCTATATAGCCGACATTTATATGCTGCAAGTGGTGCCCTTGTAGTTAATATGGCCTCATTATTAATGGCCCCTGACTTGTTTTGTTACTCTTACCTTTCTCAACTATTATGACATTTCTGTCTTGGTTGCTGCTGAATTGAATTTTTGTAATGGGCTGAGGGCAGTAATGAGCACCACAAGTAATAACTATCTATCCTGCATGTGTTTTGGGCTGTAGCTCCTGCATGGGTTTACGGGAGCAATGATTTATAATTTCTTGCCATACAAGTCGCTGGCGTGGCCAGGCGAAGTTCGGTCTTGTGTAATATTTACAGACGTTTGTCGCTCCTGTAATCTAGTACAGTCTTCAAGATCACACTTTGACCGCTAATATATAATATATGGCAACAGAAGTTTGGTCATTAGAAAATAATTAAAATACAAATTCATATGATTAGAGTATTTGTTGGTCAAAGATAACGATGTTTGAATTTTGAAATACGTGCATGCCTTGTATTTTAGGCTGGGGGGAAGTGTGACAACAAACCTCCAATATTTGATGTCATGTTACCTGAATTAAGAGAGCTGCTTTTATTTCCATCGTTATGATTTCTGTTTGTATTGGCACGTGTGATTTTCACTTCCATGTACTCCTCCGCATTAATTGTTCTAATATATACAAAATTATTGAACTAGGTTTGTCGCATGTGCTCGCCAGTTGGCTAAGGCACTGGAAGTGCCATTGGTAAATGATTTAGGATACACGAAAAGATATGTCCGCTGCCTCCAGGTACCGACTGTTTCATGAGTCCTTGCGCATTTCCATTTAAGTTTAACTTTTGATTCAGTTAATATTATGCTCTACTTTCTTGCAATTTGTGTCCACAACTCCACATGATTCCATTGTACTTGGCCATGTAGATTTAGCTACCAATTTCATCTTCTTTTATGCCACTCTCCTATTTAAGTGAAGTTGTCACCCTGATTAATCTTTTCTTTTGTCTAAACATTGATAATCAGATTGCAGAGGTGGTCAATTGTATGAAAGATTTGATCGATCACAGCAGGCAGACTGGGTCTGGTCCAATAGGTGCAGTATTACTTACCTTTTTTTATCCCGTTTTTGTTGCTTAATGTATTCTTGCTTTGAAACATAATTTGTTCAATATGGAGAAAGGAAAATGTTATTTGTACCAGTTCACCCAATTCTGACTCCAGTTGTCTGTAACTTCAAGTACAGTATCAATGTTAATTTCTCATTTGTCAAGTGCTACAAGTTTTATTAGGGATTTTGTCTGTTCTACCATTGATTTTGAACCATCCTACTTGCACATATCTTCTGCCGTCTATGACCCTATCACATTGGAACAGTTCTGTTTCTGTGTTTTGCAGCATACATGTTTCTGACACTGTCTTAGTAAGGGATGTGTGTGATGTTCCAACACAGAAGCAGGATAACTAAAAAAATATGGAAACTTTCTATCGGTTAATGTTCATGACATTTGTTTCTTATATAGCTCTTATTTCCAAATCTCTGTATCTTAGTTTCTCTAGGATTTTGTCCAGATGAAAAGCTAATGAAATATGCTATTGAACATACAACATATAGTTACTGGCTATGAGTTGGCATGCATTATAGTATTATTATGATAAGTTCAACATTTTAAATGTGGCAAGCCTTGGTATTAATCATTTTCTGCTGCTTGTTTTTAACATAAACAATCATGTTCTTTTTTCTCCAGAGAGCTTGCATAAATTCCCTAGGAGGGGGAATTCAGGGGTTAGTTCTGTTCAAGCCCAGCAGCCATATGAGGAGCAGAAACCTGTTCCACAGAATTCTAACCAGAGTGGTCAAAATTCTGCTCCTGCAACTGGAATTCAAGTCTCTGCCTCTGTCAATGGTGATGCTACGTCAAACAATTCACTCAATTGTGCACCATCTACTTCCGCACCATCTTCTTCATCTGTTGTTGGTCTCCTCCAAGGCTCAGTAAGTGGCAGACAAGACCATCCAACAAGCAGTGGCAATGGTCTGTATAATGGTGGAAACAGTGCTTCAGTTGCTAAGGCCAACTCAACGAATTCCATGCTATCAAATGGACCAGCGTCGTTTCCTTCGCCAGCACCCTCAGCATCAAATGGCAATATGATGCCTGCTCCTCAGCACTCAAGCCAAATGAATTCGCCAACCATGTCATCAAACCCACCTCCTATGCAAACACCTACAAGTCGACCTCAGGAACCTGAGCCAAATGAGTCTCAAAGCTCGGTCCAGAGGATATTGCATGACTTGATGATGCAATCCCATATTAATGGTGTTGGACCAGTGGGAAGCGATATGAGGAGAGCAAACACAATTACTCCTGGTCTGAATGGTGTCAACTCCTTAGTTGGTAACCCTATGACAAATAACCCTGGAATCAATGGAATGGGATTTGGGGCTCTGGGTGGCCTTGGTCAACAAATGAGAACAGCAATGGGGAACAATGCATTGGCAATGAATGGAAGGACCGGGATGAATCATAGTTCGCATGACCTGACACAGTTGAGCCACCAGCAGCAACAGCGAGATTTAGGAAACCAATTGCTTGGGGGCCTTAGAGCTGCAAACAGCTTCAATAACCTTCAATACGACTGGAAGTCGGCTCAGTAGAGTGAGCAGGAGTCAGAAAGGTCGCACCTGATATTATACAGTTATCCTTGCTGGGTCCATAACTGACAACACAAAAGTTACGTCGCCACAACCACAACCACAACCACAACCACAACCACAACCACAACCTGCCCTCCCTCGGAAGCGGTGGGTTCTTACTGATGGTGCATGCTACATGTTACAGCAAAAAGGAAACATTAGCAATGATCGGTACATGTCACAACAACTGTCTGTATGGCTGTGTTCCTTTGTATTCCACAAAAATGAGAGCCGGGAATCAGAGCCTACTTTCACTCGCGCTCATTAGGGCAAGTGTTGGCGGATTCCAAACTGGGGGAAGATCAGAGCATCTTTCCCCTGTTTTTTCGGGTTGGATGACAATGATTTCTCTCCTGTACTCTTGTGTACCATGGCTCTCCGTAAGTTGTGAAAGCATGAGTACCTATTTCCACCTTTGATGGCCAAGAATCTCATTGTAGTGTATAAGCTGTTATTTACTAGTGGAAAGCATCAGGAAAATTTTCTAAAGGGGGTGTGAATCTTGATGTCTCATCTGTGTACCTGTTGTGATGAATGCTCTCGTTTTGTTGCTTGATAGCAGCAGGTTGACCTGTATACATGAGCATGGCGTTGTCATTCACTGATCACTACTCACTAGTATTGCTAGATGTGTTCTGGACAGTATGCGTGTGACAACACATACGAGCTCATCTCGTTATGTTCAGCACGCTGCTCCTAATGACAGCCAAGCTCAGGAGCCAGAGGATTCGACCTATGCCATGGCTACTAGTTGCAGCCGGCCTGATTAAGTGTAAGTGTCACGATTCTCCACAGCATCCACACGTACGGAGATGGAACAACGCGTGCTAGCGCCAGTATGCTAGCACCCGGCATGCGGCCCGCGGCCGAGAGGGAAAGAAAGGGGGTGTAGGTTTAGGCAGTGAAGGACTATAGTTTGTCTTTCCATAGAATGTTGGTATATTTATATAATGTTGGTATATTTATATAGGGGGGGAGAATCCATATCTTAACATCAATTAGCGATATGGTACTAATTAATGTCGCACATTGCACCTCTACTAGTGAGCTTTAAACGTTAAAGCCGTCCCTTATTAAAAGCCCATTGGTACTATTACTAATGATAATGAATTATGTTTTAGCCCACTTATAGATCGAATCCATAACTTTTTTTTTGTGAACGAATCCATAACAGATATGATTGCCTCTTGGGCACATCGCCAACAATATATACACATGTGAATTAACATATAACGAAGTGAAATCATGCACTGAAACTAATTAATGTACTTTGGATTTGACATAGAAGTATATATATAACGGAGCAGTAGCAGACGGCTGCTTGCCAGAATTAATTAACGCATCGATCATCATATCCGTATGCAAGACTAGAGGAGATACATGGCTGGTGTATATGCGCGAGTATGGACACTTATGTATTTAGTTCTTCACATGCATCATCATCAATCCCAATATGGCAATATCCCATGCAGCTCGGGGGCATAGCATAGCATGAAACATGAGAGAGGAGAGAGCTGCTCTCTCGCTGAGTCACTAGCTCATGCATGCTCATGAGCTGCCGATGTACTTGTCGATGAGGGTGGTGAGCGTGGACTTTGGGACGGCGCCGATGACGCTCTCCTTCTTCTCGCCGCCGTTGAAGATGAGCACGGTGGGGATGCTGCGGATGCCGTAGGTGGACGCCACGTTGGGGCTCTCGTCCGTGTTCACCTTGCAGCACATGATCTTCCCCGCGTAGTCCTTGGCCAGCTCGTCGATCACCGGCGCGATCATCCGGCACGGCCCGCACCACGGCGCCCAGAACTCCACCAGCACCGGCGTCTCGCACGCCATCACCATCCCGTCCCAGTTCTTCTCGTCCGCCACCAGCACTGCATGCATGCCCAACAACAAGCCACGGATCGATCGACCACAGGGATAGGAGGGCGGAGGGCCATCAGTCTATCTACCTACATATTTGCCGTCTGAAATAGTACTCCTATATTACCTTCGTCCACGGCGTTCTTGGACTGGCAGACGTGCCGCGGCCGGCGCGTGGCGACGCGGCCGGCGGAAAGCGGCGCGACCGCGACGGCGGCGGCACGCTTCGATGGCAGCACCAGGTTACTGCCGCTGCCGCTGCTGCCGGCGACGAGGAGCCTGTCCTTGCTGCCAGCAGCAGGGGCGTGCAGCGCCCACGCTCTGAAGCACGTCTCCAGGGCCATTGTTGTCGGCTGTGGTGGTCGTCTCACTCACCTCACGCGCGCTCGCGGCGAGAACGAATGTGGTGACTAGGTGAGTGTGAGTGAACGGCCGGCGAAGGAGGGGATAGGATTTGTTTCCCTGCCATTGGATGGATTGGATGGATATTTGGGAGCAGGCTGGGGTGGCATTGTGAGGTGGGCAGGGCCTCCGGCTCTGCATGTGGATGAGCCGATGAGGTGTTTTTTCAGCTCCTGCGTTGTCCACTTGTCCCCACGTGATCTTCCTTTTTTTTGTGGCACCATTTCTCTGCGCTGCTGTCTGGCCTGGGCCACCTCTAATTCAAGTAACGTGGTAAAAAGATCTTGGGAAAATATCGTAGCAAACCTATATAGGTCATGGTCTCTCCATCCAGAATTACAAGGTGCACATACATTTTGAAATCCAAACTTTGTAAATTCTGATCAACAACTATGTATGCTAACTTGGCATGATCGCGTGCGCCTAGTAATACAAAGGTGGTGCTATGAAATTTGTATTTTTATACAAATTTTATTGCCATGGTTTTCTAATTTCTAGTTAGTTGTTACATATTCTAAGCGCCACCTGCAGTGCGAAATCGATCTAGAAGACCATGCCAAGTTAAATAATGTTTTTTTTTTTTGCAGAAATATAAAGGGCTACTTGCACAAAAATCAACACGCCAGAGTTCTAAAAAAATGACAACATGACCCAAACAATAATCAACCTTCACATAAATTATTAGACAAAAAAAAGACTATGGCATACATGAAGTTAGTGGGACCCAAACTATGGACCATATATAGGGAAGTTGTATCCACAAGGTTTGGTACTTGGAATTTATACATATATGTTTGGAGCCCTCTGTTGGATTAGTCCCAACATGATTCTTATTAGAGTGATCGAAATAAGGGCAGAAACCAGTTGACCCATATATAGGAAAGTGTTTTCATATATATAATAAATATCAATTTATACATGAAATAGAAAAATTGAATGGAGAAGAAAGAAACAGGCAAAATACATGCTCTGTTGACCTGCCTTGATCACTATAACCGGAGGATGGGATCTCTCGAGGAATTACCATAGATACTAAACACTAAGAGCATCTCCAAGAGATTCTCTATATCCTTCCTAAATGTTAGGAATAGATATTTTGGTGAAAAACTACGCTCCAACAGCTTTTCTAAATGGTCATCCAAATATAGCCATCTTTTATTCCGGATTTTTCTCTAGCCAAAAATAGAAAACAAGAATAGCTCTCTATAGTGCGCATGAGATATAGAAAAACTGTTGAAGAATGAAAAGATATAGAAAGCGATTTTTATGCAAATAACTCTCCAAATAATGATTTAGAAAAGCTCTTAGAGATGCTCTAAGGGCGCGATTGGTTTTGAAGGAAAAATGGAGGAAAAGTACAGGAATTGCATTCCTTTGGAAAAGACTCTCTCACCGTTTGGAATGTATGAAATGATATAAAACTTTCCAGAGCAAAGGCTTACTAAGCTATACTTTTAGAAAAATATGAAAAAAAGAGCTATGAGCCAAGAGAAACTTTCGCCAAGTATATATAATTTCTCATAGCCTCAAACCCCCAAGAAAACGTGTTAACAAAAAGTTTTAAAATCTCAAAAACCTTGTTGTTGCCAAGGTTTGAACTCACAACCCCAGGTTCCAGAGCAAAGGCTTACTAAGCTATACTTTAAGAAAAATATGAAAAAAATGAGCTATGAGCCGAGAGAAACTTTGGCCAAGTATATATAATTTCTCGAGAGCCTCAAAACCCCAAGAAAACGTGTTAACAAAAAGTTTTAAAATCTCAAAAACCTTGTTGTTGCCAAGATTTGAATTCACAACCCCAGGTCCCCAGCCGTCACAGGTTATTTCCTTACCACTGCACCTCCTAGTCACTTATCACTAAGTGTCTGATGCATTCTAGTGAATTTTGTAATGCATATTTGAGACCCTAAACAAATTCAAATGAGTTTTTTGAACCGAACAGTTTTAGATGTCTTCGAGTACGACAACTTTGGTTTAGGTCATTTCTCCATCTGATGTCATTTGAAGAATAGATAAAAAATATTAATTTCAAAATAACGATTTTTCTTGGTAGCTTACAATAGCACTCAAGGAAATGGCTATTTTCCTTGGTGGTTCACAATAACACTCAAGGAAAATTGTACATTTACTTGGAGGTCAAGTGGAGCCGCCAAGGCTACAAATTACCGGTTTAATACAACCCTTAAGGAAATGATTATTCCTTGGCGGCTGGATTTTGGCACACTCAAGAAAATTCTAGACCCCCAAGAATTTTTTTGTTTTCTGATAGTGCTTGCATGTGTTTTGATTCTGGTGATAGGAACACCTGTGTTCCAAACACCCATTTCTATCCATTCCCTGTAGTTTTTCAATCAACAAGCCAACAGAACCAGTGCACGCCATGCCATGCTTCTACCATACAAAATCCAGTGATGAGCTTGGTACAATGACAGGTTAGTTCGGGTGGAAGCAGCAAAATGAACATAAAATTGACCGGTTGAATTGGGAGAAGCTGATGAAGCCAAAAGGAAGAGGTGGCCTGGGTTTCTGAGACCTGCATAATTTCAATCTTGCTATGTTAGTTGTTAGGTTAGGACGTCAGGCTTAAGAGCCTATGTTGCCACTCCAGTGGCTGGAACAGAGACCTGCCCAGTTTTTGTTGTCACCCTAATGTCGTAGTTTAGGCCTTGTGGACATGCAAATCTAGTCTGCAAAAATTT